AAGAACACCTCTTCCAAGCTGGGACTCTAGTTTGTCCAGTCAGACTTTCCAAACTACCTTGAAGAGGTACAGATCCATCTTGACTAAGCATGCATCTCTAGCAGCACATCCTTCACATTGGCCCCAAAAGGCACACCTAATAATTTTGCTTTTATTTTGTTTGTCTGTGGATCTCACTCCCTTCAGTCTCTCTGTACCTACCCACAATGTATGGCCTTCCATAATTAGCTCCTTGAAAATAGAGGCTGAGCATTTCTCTATGGAATGACTAGATCACCCACCCACACTGAAAAGGGCTTATCAATGCACTTTATGAGTGAGAAGAACAACCAACCCTCTGCACCATCAGAAAGAACTGGTACATGGCTAATTCCTCTTGCCTGGGCATAATAATAATAATCACAGCTACTATGTACCAAGTAGCTCTGGTGGCATAGTGCCTAAGGCATTTGACTGCTAACCAAGAGATTGGTGATTCAAGCCCACCAGCCACTCCATGGAAGACTGGGCAATCCACTTCTGGAAAGATGTACTGCCTTGGAAACCCAGAAGGGGTCACTATGAGTTAGAGTCAACTCAAGGGCACTAAGTTTGGAGTTTGTTACCATGTACTGAAAATTTACTAAGAGACAGGCATGTGCTGTTGATCTTCACACTGATCACAGGAGAGTGCTACTGTTATTAGCTGCTCCATTTCATAATCAAGGAAACAATCACAGAGAGCTCAAGCAACTTGCACAAGGTCACACAGCCACCAAGTTGTGGAATGAGGATACCAGCCCAAACAATCTAACTCCAGAACTTGAACTTTCCATAGTTAAGTTATATTATCTTCCATTCATGACACATCCATACACACAAACATCCACACTAACTTTCATGAAGCACATCTTCTTTGCTAAAGTTATACTGCATGCAGTTTCTCAGGAGCTCCCATGCATCTTACTTTATAAGGTAGGAATGAATGCTACCTTCCCTTCTCTCTGTCATCACTACTCACGTACTAGGCTTCTTCTACATGATTTCCCAGAAATCTCTGTTGTGCCCAGTCCTGAAATCCCCAAATAACCACCAAGGAGCCAATTCCACTGCAAAAGCATAGGGGTTGTTTATTCAAGCTTGAGCTCGGACCCCCAACCGTCACCGACACAGTGGTTCAGGATTGAGAGCCTCAAACTCAGGGGTTGTTGTTGTTGTTGTTAAGTGCCATCGAGTCGTTTCCGACTCATAGCGACCCCATGCACAGCAGAACGAAACACTGCCCAATCCCGCGCCAGCCCCACAATCCCTGCTATACTTGAGCCCATCA